CACACACACACACACACACACACACACACACACACACTCTTCAAGCTTCAAAGCAAGTTCACTTCAAACTGTAAGTGAGCTACTCAGCTCAAACTCTTGATCGGAAATCAGCAGAGCTGCAGGCGGTTTCAAGCTTGCGATCAACAGGCCAAGCCATAGCCTGCCACTAGATGCCAAACATGACTACATAAGCTGAGCAAATCAAGGCCCTCCATTCTCAGATAGGGTGCCCAACGCCTTCCATCTCAGAGCACACTCGCAGTAGGACTTTCTCGTCTGAATCTAGGCTTCTCTGTGGCCATCATATACCCTCAAGAACGGGCCCAGATGAGTATCACGCTTACACTCTCCAACTAAAAACACAACACGTCTATTGCCTGATACCAGACTGTTCTTGAGCTGACCACATTCAACTTGAGCAGAAGGGAACACTGGAGCTCGGTGCGAGTGTTATGTCCATGTCGTTTTTCTCCAGAGAGGACAGCAACAACACTGCCCAGCCGCAATTCCACTACTACAGTAGCATGGATGAAGAGAGATTTTGGCCCCAACGGCGCCCTCAAGGACCGGCCCACTTGAGCACTACCTGCCATCTTCACCATACGTGAGCAGTGTCTCATAAACCCCACCACCGACTCCAACGGCACCCAAGGCCTGGTGAAGTACATGCCGACGCCTGAGGAGGGAGGGGGGGGGGGGAAGGGGGCAGAAGGTCCACCTACCGGGTGCAAGAGAAGGCGGAGAGGGGAGGAGGCAGCTTTTGTGATTTCCAATTGTCGTCCCCCCTCCTTCGATCAAAATTTTGAAAGCAAAACCATGGATCTAGGTTAGGTTCCGCCGCAGTGTCGGTAATAATATTTGAAATAAACTTGTCTTGAAGTGTCTTCCGTAGTAAAAAACCATCTGGCGTGAAGTACGCCGCGAAGTTCGCCGCGAACCCAACACATATGGTTTTGCCCTTCCGTGCTGCGACCTGCTTCCTTCTTCACCCCAATACAACTCCCACAGTCGCCCAGTCATTATCGCTGTACAGTTCCCCCACATACAGGCATAATGACTAGGCGTTCTATTCGGTGAGCGACGGTAGGCCCGACTATTCAGTCCGGGAAGGCGAGGGTCCACGTAATCACCAGCTTCGACAAAATAGGTCCCACATTTTGCAGCTGTTTTGTTGTGCCCCTGGGCTTCCGGACCTGATGGGTGCAGCATATCAGTTGAGAACTTGAGATTGTCTCTCAAACCGAGCCGAAGACAGAGCCAAAACTTTTTTTTTTTTTTTTTTTTTTTTTCGCGTGGCTTCGTGTCATGTCCAAAGCTTTTTTTTCTTGCATCGTTTCGTGTCATGTCCAAACAGTGGCAAACACCCATCCGGTGTTCGAAATGGAAGGCGTTGTGATTGCGACCCGTACTCCACTGCTGCTGATCTGGGTCCCCGATCTCTTGACCGAAAGGAGAACAACTTCCATAGCTTCCAGCAGCCAAGTGCAAGAAATGAGAAATGCATGTCATGAGACATCGCGAGAGTGAATGCCACCATCACTTTTGAACAGTCTTTTATAAGTTTTTAGAACTTTTAGTTAAAATTAAAATATTTTTTGCTGGCGTGACGAAATTGAGCTTTTGTTTTTCAGCAATTTCGGCCTGATTTTGAAGTTTCCACAAATGATCGTACGTCTGTCCATGGACGCCGTACCTTCATCATACATGCTCTCAATTGAGTCTTTCGGATGTATCTGGTTGCTTATACGGCCAGATTAGCATATGCCATATGCTCATTGCAGGACGATTAAACCACAACACCCTTCCATTGTCACATGCTGTGGTCAGTCGACTCATCGGAGGATGATCAAATTGCAACACCCTCCCAAGCTCAATTTCGTCACGCCAGCAAAATATTTCAATTTTAAGTTTTAACTAAAAGGCAGTTTTTGGCAGTAAGCTGTGGTGAAACCGCCGCTTCCACAGGCGACCCCTCCAGGTTCGGTCACTGCCGGACTGCATCCCCATGACACGACAGAGTTGCATTCAAGAGATGTAAAAAACGCAGCACCTCAAATGGTGCTGTACGATTACTGCTCAACTGCGTCCGCATGAGCCGAGTGCGAGAAATGAGGAAGGCATGTCGTGCGGCATTTGCCAGTATGCTACGGTGAAACCACTTCCGCAGGCGACCCCTCCATGTTGGGTCACTGCCGGACTGCATCATCCCCACAACACGGCAGAGTTGCGTTCAAGACATAAAATGCACCTCAGAAGGTGCTGTACGATTACTGCTGAACTGCATCCCCACGAGCCGAGTGCGAGAAATGGGAAACGCATGTCGTGAGACATTTGGCTTGCAGTAGGCTTATTGTGAAACCGCTTCAACCTGCCGGCGAC